ATACATGCGCAGAACTTGCTGTAGGATCTTGTTCATCTGTTCTGTCTGACCGTTAGTCTCTGGGTGACGGCCAGACGACATTAACAACTTAGATTCGTAGACTCTCACGAGTTCTTGCCAGTTCTGGCTGGTGAAACGACTATCTCTATCACTAACTATTGACAATGGGATTCCATTCTCATTAACCCAAAAGTCAAAAAACCTCTGTATAACTAAGTCCGTACGTGCCTCTGCAGGCAAAGGAACGAAGACTGCATATTTGCTAAAACGGTCAACTATGACCATGACTTGGCTCTTACCATGTCTACTCTTGACTTGTGTGTCCATGAAGTCTATGGACACTGAGTCTCCCGGCTGATCCGGAATAGGCAAGGGTCTGAGAAGACCTAGGGGTGCGCGTGTTGTAGACTTATTTCGCTGACATACTTTACAACTGCGGACATACTCTACGCAGTCGTTCTTCATCCCTGGCCATGTGTACGCACGCATCAGATTGGCTAACGTCTTTTTCCAACCGAAGTGTCCCTCAGTATCGTGACATTCCCCGAGAATCAGACTACGAATCTCTTCGCTGTTAGGAACACACAGGTCGGTCAAACACATTAGTCTTCTCAAACAGCAACCCGTCTGTAGTGCGGTAATCTGGTTCGGTCTCTGGGGCCTCTCTAACTCTCTTTAGGAGGTCGCTATAGATAGGGTCCTGCGTATACGCTTGTTTCACTTTCTCCTGCAGGTCTCTCCCTATATCCAGATAATGTACTACGGCTCCAAAGTAGTCTGATCTCCTACTTAGAGCATCCGCCACTACATTGTACTTGCCCTTCACTGGCTTGAGCTCAWAGTCGAATTGGTYTATCTCTGCGGCCCACCTGGTCAACTTAGGTGTCATCTTGGCCTGGGTCTTCAACCATCTAAGTGTTTCATGGTCCGAGTAGACTTTGAAGTGCCTCCCAAGCAGGTAGTGCTTCCAATGGTTTAAAGTCTGCCTAAGGGCGTAGAGTTCTCTTTCGTACGTGGAGGCAGGAACCTTTTCACAGGGCATCCTTACTGACATGAACTCTACGGGTCTATAGCCATTGCCATCGTCTTGCTGCAACACGGCGCCTATCCCATACTGACTTGCGTCCGTGGTGACGACAAATGGCAAAGACGGATCCGCAACTTTGAGGACAAGATACTCTATTAACGCGCGCTTTAGCTTCTTGAGTGCAGACGTACAGTCTTTGTCCCATTGCCAGGTTGTCTCTTTCTTCAACAACCTGCGCAAGGGAGCGGCGATAATGGAGAAGTTACTCACGAACTTCCTGTAGTAGTTAGCTAGGTCTAGGAACGACCGTAACTCTGTTAATGTGCGGGGCGTCGGCTAGTCTCTAATCGCCGCGATCTTGCTGTCCTCTGGCTTAATGCCATCTCCGTCCAACACGTGGCCCAAGTACAAGACTTGCGTCTTGGCCCACTCGCACTTCTTCGCGTTGATCTTGAAGTTAGCCTCTCTAAGCTTCTCCAAGACCTGCCTCAGATGACCCTGGTGCTCCTGGAGGGTCTTACTAAAAACTAGAATATCATCTAGATAAACTACCACAAATTTGTCTAACCACGGTCTAAACAGGTCATTCATACAACGTTGAAAAGTAGCTGGCGTGTTGGTTAGTCCAAAGGGCATCACTATGATATCCGGACTTTAAGTCTATCTTAGATAAATACTTGCACCCCTGCACCCGATCTAAAAGATTGTCTATCCTGGGCAACGGTTCAGCATTCTTCACGATAATCGCATTCAAACCCCTATAGTCTATGCACATACGTAGCTCTCCTTCCTTCTTTGGGACGAACAAGACGGGTGTTCCAAAAGGAGACGAGCTCGGCCTGATCCAACCTTTCTCAAGGAGCTCGTCTAACTGTTTGCGAAGCTCCTCTAACTCTCTAGGGGACATCTTGTAGACTGCACCCTTAGGAGTTCTACTACCAGGCTCTATCTCTATCCTGTGCTGGATGGGTCGCGACACTACTCCTCTCGACGACTCAGTCAAGTCTTT